CCAGAAATAAATTTCTTAAAGGTAAAAAATATTTCATGTATACTTATGTATTCAGAAATTAATAACACTACTTCTACATTAAAGGGATGCTTTCTTTTCCTAACATGGGTAGGAGTCTAGTATCTAGTTGATTCTGTATCAAGTGCAAAGATCATGTTAATATGAAACAGTTAATTGTTATCTGTGGAATAAGATGAAGATTTGCAAATTCTTTTTGGACAATGCATTGAGAAAAGTATAGTCCCTGATTGATTTGGTCATATTCAGTCTTAAATGGTATGTTGTAAAAGAAACAAAAGAGCTAGTGGTAAGATTTTTTTTTCTTTTTTGGGAATAAAATAAGTCTACAGATCACAGTAGACTACTGATCCATTCCTGAAAGAATGGGTATAAAAGAGGAAAATGAAGGGGCTCTCCCTGAACACATTTAAACTGATGGTAGGGTAGATGGTATTTAAAAGCCTTTCCCACTCCAAAATTGTACGATTAGTCTATATGTTAGAAGATATAAGAAAAAAATGCTGAAATGGTAGCAAATTATTTTATACCTTTAAGTTCTCAAATATAATTAATAATTAAATTAAGTAAAAACTATATAACAATACATAGAACCCAAAGGGTAATTTACTCATGTATAGGCCCTGAGAAATTTCCACATAAAAGTTAAAATTATATACTTGCTTTAAAAAAAACAAAGGTACTTAGCTGGTATTAAGGATTCTACACATTCAAGATACACACTGTTATACATATATTATGTAATGACTGAAGCAATAAATTAATAGACTGCCAACATGCACTCCCCATCCTGTGAACTGTAATTTAGTTTGTATGTTTGGATTAGAATCTATTTCCCCACTCCCCACCAAGTAGTAAACACTGCTTATCCCTGTGTTTTCCTGGAAACCCCAACACTTAGCAGGAGAATTTTGTTTATTAATGTAGGGGTGAATAATGAAATATGAGTTTTTTTCTGATACTATACAGTAACTGTTCTTAATAAATATGATAGACTTTCACCAGGTCACTATGGTGAGAAGGGCAATAGTGATGATATTATGAGTCCCTCTCTGCCAGGAACTATGACAAACATTTCATATTCATGTCACTCAACCCTCATAATAATCACGTGAGGTTGGCTTACAAATGGAGGAACTTAGTAATTTTTCCAAATGTTAGTACTAAATAAGACAGAAAGTGGACCCATGTACAAATCCAAATCTCATGACTAAGAAACAGAAAAGAATTCTTCCAAACAGCGGTACAGAAGCACAATGACATAGCTATGAATTATTCCAAACTCAAGTAGAAAATTCTGACACTGCTTAGAACAGGGAGCTATCCTCATTTACAGTTTCTATCAGGCAGGCTTAAACCTTTCTGTCAGAGTCACTGCCTTACAAACATCAGGGAAGAATGACAAGTTGTGTTGGAGGAAATATCAGCACTGATAGTGGGCTATTTTTTCCTATTGTCTTTCATATCAATTAACAGCACAGCCACTTTATCTATCGTGTCTATTGACTTGATGCATAACTATAGTGGAACAAGATGCTTTTTAAAATAAAAAAATCTTAAATATCTGTAAATACTGGTTCAATAATGAGAATACCTCTTAAGGCAAATCATTTTTGCTAACTGAAAAAGTTCTTATAATGTACTGAATTTAATAGCAAGTATTATTATTTATCAGCTCTGTAGATATTCTCTAACATTGAAGGTCAAGAAAACCTTCCAAAACACAAGGTAGGAACTGGACAACGTGGAATGACATCACCAACAAAATTAGTTCTACTCCAAAAATCACTATTCATATTATAATGAGCAACAGTCAGCTTTGGCTTTTTTGTAAAGGCAAGGGAAATGAGCTCCTACAGAAAAGGGCTGCAGAAACTGCAGGACTAGTGGCTGTTTTCTGGCCTCCAGGCACTTTAAAATTAATTTATCTATTTCTTCTGTGAGCTACAGCAACACAGGTGGGCAATCAGGGCCGGTCTTGCTTGAGGCTACAACTGGGCTCCAGACTGACCAGAGAGCCTCTCTGCACAAAAGCTCCTCCCTTGACAGTAAAGCCCAGAAGTCGCACACTCACGTGTGCAGACTAAGCAGGATACTCCGAATTTGGAATCCGGAAGGAACTTCACACTCTAGGAGGCTGGACTGTGAGAGTCCTCAGTTTAAGTCTGAGGAAGGAGCCAGTTTGCTCTCGGGATTCAGAGGCGAAGCCCAGAACCTCGGTGCTGTGGGAAAGGCTCGCCTTGTCATACACGCTCGGTAGCTCCAGATCCTTCCAGCCGCAGTACCAAGGGGACCCTCGACCCGCAGCTCTCGCCGAAAGCTACTTTGTCGGCTGACGCCTGATCCTCCACTCCGGTGACCCTCGAATCAACCCACGCGTCCCCAGACACAGCGCCCACCTCACTCACCTAGAAAAAGTGACCGCGACAACTTGGCAGAGTTGGCTTCTAGGCGCTCCAAACACAGCCACAAATTCAAACCCAAGCCAGCTTCCTCAGCTATCCATTTCATTGGCTGCCGTTCGGCTGACGTCAGCACGTCGGACGTTTTCCCCGGCGTCTCGCAGTTTGCCGCCAGAGGCTGGGCCTCAGCGGCCGGAGGAGAAGCTGCTTCTCTGGGTGTCGCCGTGGCAACGCGCGCGTTCGTTTCCGGGAGCCTTGGCGGAGGTGGGCGGAGCTAGGGCGGATTGCGTTTGGGAAGAAGCCACATGGGATGTTTATTATTGTGCATACTCTGGGTCTGGGGCTTTATTGCTTTTGGGTGAAGTGTTTCTCATGGGGGAGAGGCGTAGTCTGCGGGCCTGTAAAAGGGCCTGGGTTACTTTGTTCTTTCCCCGTTCTCATTAATCAAGGTTCCAAGGATTAGGTTTTATGCTATGGAAGGTGTGGCGCCTCCATGTGAATTAATTGCAAGTCCAAATCTTCTGGCTCTAAGTCCCAAGTCTTCTTTTGTCAGGCTTCCTGGCCTGCTCCTGTTATTGCTGATTGAAAATATTTGCTATTTGTCAGCATTTAACATGCTCCAAATATGACATTACAAAATAAAATCACTTAACGATTTTGGCCTAGGACATTATTGGATCATGCAACTCTTGTTCCAGATTGCATTATTTCTGAATGTATACTTAAGAAAGAAATATGCATTGGAAACATGGGGAATATTTTTCCTAAGATAACTCATTTAAAAATTGGCAGGGTATTTCATATTTGAATTGTTGGCTAGGCAAGCCTTTTATCAGTGAGTTGACATTCAGAAAAAATTTAGTAGTAAGATCTGAATTACATTGTTGTTTATATGACTTTCCATTTAGTAAGCAACTCTTACTTGCAGATTTTAGGATCATATTAGTACACACTGAGGTCAACATCCCTTCCCTCCTGGAGTTTAGATTCCTGTTAATTGAATATCACTATAAAATTAGGATGTTACAGAGCAGAGGATGTATGTATGTATGTATGTATGTATGTATGTGTCTATGTATCTATCTGTAATCTATGTATCTATCTATCATCTATCTAATCTATTTTACATTTTTAAACAAGGTCTCGCCAGGTACCTATGGCTGGCCTGGAGCTTGCCATGTAGACACAACTGGCCTGGAATTCATAGAGATCTGCCTGCCTCTGCTTCCTTTGTTCTCTTCCTGAGATTGAAGTCATAGGGCACCACTCCAGCAGTGTAGAGTATTATTATTAGTGGCGTTTTTTGCTGAAATCCCATAGATTATGATCACTTCTTATATCTATTGAAGAAAATCAGGAGAGTTGCAAATTACACATTATGCTTGTTCTATGAATTTTTTGAAAGAGCATCAATAAAGTGACTACTTATTTCTTGTTGTATTATATGTGTCAACTAATGACATCATCATTTGTGTGGTGCTGGGTTTGGCAATAAAAATGAGGAGAGTTCATTTTATTTAAAATATTCCTTTACTTTATATAGTGCTTGACCTTTAGTGTCTCAGGCATATATTTAACCCCTTTAAACACTACCTCACTTTATTCTCAAAACAGAATATAAGATATAAATATATTGCTTTGATTTCATTGGTAGAAAAAAGTTTTAGAAAAACCTCTATAGGGAAGTATTTGTCTTGTAAAACAAACCGTCTCAAAATTCAGCTATTTGTTTTTAAAGTATTTTCTAGATCAAGTGACTATAATATGATAGTTTAATCTAGTTTGAAAATACGTGTCGGGCAGTGGTGGCACACACCTTTAATCCCAGCACTTGGGAGGCAGAGGCAGGTGGATTTCTGAGTTCAAGGCCAGCCTGGTTTACAGAGTGAGTTCCAGGACAGCCAGGGCTACACAGAGAAACCCTGTCTCAAAAAAAAAAAAAAAAAAAAAAGAAAGAAAGAAAAAAAGAAAGAAAGAAAAAAAGAAAAAAAGAAAATATGTTTATCTTGACATCTTGAAAAAATTATATTGGCAAATGAATAAATAGACATGTACATTTCATCCTTTTGTTTTTGACTTCCACACTATATAGGTTTCTTAGTGTTACAAGTGTAGCCACACCTAATCCAAATACTGTCCATTTAATTTCAGTTCTGCATTGTACTTGCTTTATAGCAGGGTTCCAATGATGAGATCCATACTATCAAGGAATCATACATTTGATTAAAACAGAGAGGTTTTTTAACAATACAACCAATACTATTATAGTGCAGTTGTCAACTCATGAGTTTGGGAGAAGTAATAACAGGACGAGAGAACCTCATGCTTTTTAACAAAATTATAGAGTGGGGGCAGAGGTCCGAAACTTCCCAAATGTACAGGGCTAAGAAGGTTGAAATTTCCACCTTTGGTTAGAAATTGGATGATGTATGGAGCCATTAACAAAATTAATATATTTTTATAGTAGACAGAAAACTGAAAGTTACATTTAAACTTTCACCAGACATCAAAACAATTCTTCAACAACAACAACAACAACAACAACAACACCTTAAAAGTGAGATCTTATTTTTCCAGGAAGACCTTTTGGAAACCCTTGACCCACAACACCCTTTCACAGTAGGTGCTGGTAGCAGCGGAACGAAAGACCAACACACCTCAGTTGCTCCGACGGAAGGACAAGGGCTCATTTGTCCGTTCTTACAAGTTTCCCCCACTCGGGTCCTTGGTGTATGCAAATCAAGTTCTTCTGCGTTTTAGCGTCGCGGCTGGCCCAACTTTTCTTTTTGCCTCAGGTGAGGAGAAGTCCCTAGTTAAGTGTTGGAGACGGGGCTCCTTTCGTGTGGCTGTTGTGGGGAGTGAATCCCCTCCTTGTAAGGAAACAGAAGCTCCTCCTCCAACTCCCTCGGGTGTACTACTCTGCCTGGCTTTGGAGATCCCCAGGTTTCCCAATCTTCCCTTTGAAGACTGGCCAGGAAAGGCTGGGATCCTTTGACTAATAGGTGCATTCCCTCTTTTCTACGTTTCCTGGCCTTACCCTCCGTCCCCAGCCCCCAGGTCGCGTTTCTGGCATTAAAATTAGATTTGTAATTTCCTCTCTGGGCAAACTAATAGTAGTTGTTAGCCTCCTGAAGACTTCAGTTTGTATTCCCACAGTTGAAAGAGTAACATGGCCAATTTTGTGGTTTCCACAACTTCAGGGAACTTTGCCCCTGTAGAAAAATTTAAATGATCCGCTAACAGTGCAATCTGCTTTAGAGGCCAGGTTTACTGACTGGCAGTAAATTAAACAATCTCACAAGATTGCAGAGAGATTTGTTTTCTTTGGTAGGAGACTGGGCTACAAAGAAGGATTTCCTTTACAGTTTACACTCAAAGATCTTTATGGCACAATTCCAGCAAAGGGAGTATAAATTATTATACCCCCCTTAGATTATTATAAATAATCTAAGAACTATAAATTATTACTATTATTATTTAGATTATTATAAATATATCCCCTTTATTTAGATTATTATAAATAATCTAAGGACTATAAATAATCATTTATTTGTAACTCCTTCTCCGTGTTTACCTGGGTTACAAGCTAGTTAGTTGATTTTTTTTTAAATTAGGCTTTACCTTGAACATAGTTAAATGAATGCATAAAATTTGAGTACAATAAAGAATAAAATGAAGGTGAAAACAGTTTGATGTCTATTTTTATTTGCTTTAACCCCATATTGTTTTGAGGATTTTATTGGCAGCAGTGCTTCCTTTAAACAAAAAAAAAAAGGTCAAAATCTGCACATGGGGCCAGAGAATAGTTCAGTGTTTTAGTGTGTTCTGTGGAGGACCTGAGTTCAGTCCTCAGCACCCACATCATCCTGCTTACCCCTGCCTGTAACTGTAGCTCTGGGGAACACAATGTCTCTCTGGGTACTTGCATTCATGTGTAACCCCAAATATAAAAATCAGTTATTAAAACAGTATGGACATAGAGTATAGGTTGTTTAAATATTCCAGATTCTATTCTTTTGCCTAAACGTTGTGTGCCTTTTATTGGCGGTCTCATAACACTGTTACTTCTAAGTAGAAGCAAAGTGCTACTTAGGTATAGCTCCAGGGTATAGGAGACTATTCCCATTAACAATGTAATTAGAAAAATAGTATATATACAGTTTATATAGTGTACCTTTAAATTGCATGGTTACATTAAATAATTCCATTGCTCTATGTTTGTAACACTGAAGATAAATATTTCAGGCTCTGAAGATAAGCCTCTTGCATCATAGTTACAGTTATGACTTTGATTATGTGGCAAGCTATTTAGTTTCTTCAATATGTAATATAGGAATAATTACGTTTAACTCTAAGAATTATGATAATGATCAAATGGGGCACAAAGACTTTTTTTTTAAGATTTGTTGGCACTTAGAGCTGAATAAAAATTGGCTATCATTTTGAAAAAAATTTAGATACCTTAATTTAAAGGGTAGTTGTGGTTGAGTTTTGTAGTTTGTCTGGAGTACTTAAAGAGTAGTGAACAATTTTTTAAAATTTGTTGATGGTTAATATCTAGAAATTCCCTTTAGAGTTTTATCTCTAGTTCCTTTGCCACCTCCCTATTTTCACTATTTCTCATTGTCACATAATTCAGCAAATTATTTCTAAGGCAAATTTGATGTATTATCCGTAATCATGCATCTTATTTATATTCTGTCTATATAACATATTTTACATATATTTTATTTGTATTCCACTCTGTTTTAGTTAATAAATTTTGTTGTTGTTGCTTCTCCAGAAGACTGGCTATCCTGGGACTGACTTTGTAGACCAGGGTGGCCTTGAACTCACAGAGATTTGCCTGCCTCTGCCTCCCAAATACTGGGATTTATAGGCATGTGCCACCACTCTCAGCTCTAAAATTACTGTCTTTTGCCAAAGGAAAGGTAGACATTTATATGGGGTTTGTTTCTTCAAGTATTTTGAAAACATGGGTGGGAGAGCAGTCAGTGTGGATTGATACAAGCCTTTATTTTGTGAAGTGTGAAATGTATTCATTTGTGTGTTTTTCCTTTCCCCTTCACTCAATCATTTGTTAAACACTTAGCATTCATTTGATTTTGTGAATATGGAACCATAGAACTTATTCTTAAATAATTCTTAACAAGGAAAGAAGAGTAGTGCCAACTGGGTATTTACCATGGGAGTATTACAAACAATGTTTGAAGCTAATTGGGCATATTCCTTTCTCCCTGTACATTTAGAAGAATTTCAAATTGTAGAAGAAAAAGAGAAACTTTGAGAAATTCAAAGGCTGTATACCCATTTGCTTGGTTTGAGGCCACAGGGAGCGTACATTTGAAAGTGAGTATCTGGGATGTAGCTTAGAGGTAGAGAATGAACTTAATGAACTTAAAACCAATCAACAAGCAAGGCCACATATACTCAAGACAAACCAATCCAAATTGGTAGCTATGAAGTGTCAGGAGAGCAAGGTGCCTTGCGATTGGCTTTAATTGTAGTATTTGGGAAACTGAAGCAGATGTCAAGTTCAAGATTATCCTAGGTTCCATAGCAAAGACTTGTCTCAATTAAACAAGGGATGAAAATGTACCTTAGGGTTTGATTGTGTATGTAGTATGGATAAACTGGATTTGATCTTCAGGACTCCAAATAGGGGAAAAAAGAAATAAATATCCAAACCTGCCTAGCTGAGTGTTTGTTAAGTCGTAATTTAATTTGGTGTGTATGTACTTCAGAGATGGGAGTGGGGATGGGAGGCAGTGCTAAGGTAGTCTTGTCAGAGACTTTTGGAAATATGCAAGATTTTCACAAAGTGATCATACTTGTGTGAGTGCCCATGTTCATTCTTTTTCAGGGTCAGTCTGTCTTCTCAGAACTAGCTGAATATATTAATTTAGCACTGGGAGAACACTAAATAAAACAACATGAAATAAAGGATGAGCCAAACCTAACAGGAAGAGTTTGTGTTCTCTGTAGTGATCTAGCCTACCTTTTAGACAAGATTGGATGAGCTGGTTACTAGGCCTATAGATTCAGGTTACTTTTTAAATTAATATTTTAAAGTTTCTGACTTACTCTTTAGAACTAACTAAGCTTAAAAAATATATTGCAGAAAATGAGTTCCTAATTTTCATATTGATGAGGGCTGAAAAATGATGGTTTAGAATTCATAAAGGGACCACACAATTGTATTTATTTAATTAATTAGTTAATTAATTTTTGAAGTTGAAGTTGGCCTCCTCAGACATTCCTGCTTTAGTTCTGGCATTGTAGATGTAGTCACCATGTGCATTGAAAAATTACATGTTTGCATGTTCACTTTTGTTTCTTGTTTCATGGAAGGAACTCAGATTCACTTGCTTAGATGATTAGTCTTAAATTTTAAAAGAATTAGAACCCAAAAGTCATCATATCTTAATTTTTTTCTTCTAGGTTTCTTGACCTACAGAATGCTCCGATATCCACATTTTTGCAGACTGTATAATAGACTGTTTTCATACTTTGTGGATTCTGGTGCATTTAATTTGGATGTCTGTTTGCACACAATCCACACTACAGCAGCAGTGCATGCTGAATATAAAGCCTCAGAAGAGACAGTTCTGTGTGGCACTCAGAAGGTACATAGATCTGAAGAGAAAGAGTCTGAAGCCATGGCTAAATTACATATCCCAGTAATGGTGGATGAAGTTGTTCATTGCTTGACACCACAAAAGGGACAGGTGAGTTGATGTTCTAATTTAAACTTTTTATTGAGTTGTAATTCACCTATTATACATTCACCTTTTAAAGGTACATGAATGAATGTTTTTTAGTTTGTGCTTACGTTCTTTTACTTGATGTGTTCTAAAGATTACCCATGTTGTAGCATGTGCTTTTTTACTTTTATCCCTGTGTATGTATGTATGTATGTATGTATGTATGCATGCATGCATGCAAGCATGCATGTGGCTTTTGGCATCAAATCCAGAGTGATGTGCACGTTCAGTAGTGCTTTCTCACTGAGCTACAGCCACAGGCCTGCCTTGTTGTTCTTTGACTGCAGGCTTTTCCATGGTATAGGTATACTGTGTTTTGTTTAGCCATTGGTCTTTGGCTGTGCTTCTGTTATGAACTAGTTTGTGGTTATTGTTGGTGTGAGTTTTATGAACACCAGACTGTTGCGTTGATGTGTAATTTCAGTTCTCTTATTTGCATACTCATATAGATAGAGTGCTCTCATGATTGGCAGTTTAGAGAATCTGAGAAATTATTTACCTGAGTTGATTAGTTTTACCAAACCACAACTGTCTGACTAGTTTACATTTGCTGAGAGGTTGAGTATGGAAACTCAATTCCAGAACAGTTTTTTTGAGACTTTTATTATCTTTTTAGTAGTTATTAAAGACAAAATGGGCATCTAAAGTCCTGTTCCTGTTTTCTTAGCACTCAATGTCCAATACCCATCTTTGTTATTCAAAAACATCCAGAGATTCAAAACCAATTGTGTATTTCTATCATAAAATATCTAAAGCTTGGTAATTTGTAAAGAAATGGGATTTGTGTGGCTCAGTTTTGGAGACTGAACATTCAAATACATTGGCAGTTACTATAGTGGGGACTTACTTGTCTGTATTACATGGTGGTACATAGCATTATAGAAGTTAGATGTAGGAAAGAAAGACTGAATTGTGAAACGGGAGCTAGACCATGAGAGCAGGCCAGTCTTACTCATTTATAGCAATTCTCATGGAAAAAGTTCATCATTTTCTTCTGAGAGCAGTGCCCTTAGTGACCTTAATGTTCCTACTAGGACAGGCTGTGAAACAGTAAAGACCTCTCAACATTGCTACACCAGGGAACACATTCCCAACACATGAACCCTTGGACAGTAAATTAGATGTTTAGTCTCTCTCTCTCTCTCTCTCTCTCTCTCTCTCTCTCTCTCTCTCTCTCTCTCTCTCTCTCCTTCTCTCCTTTCTCTCTCTTTCTGTGTCTGTGTATGTATGAGTGTGTAATAATGGCATTATTTTGCAGAAAATATGTTTCAAGACTCTATGTATGATTGGAAAGATGGATAGTGTGAAAAAGAATATGTAATATGTAACAATATAGTATACAATACATAATATATAGCATATAATATATAATATCTATAATAATATATATAGCATTTGATAACTAATAATTCTTACTATAGACCTTGCCACCTTCAGCAGTCAGTTATATTCTTTCCCTTAAGTCATGATTTTTTTTACCACTTCACTTATTTTTTTTAAATCTTTTTATTGGATATTTTATTTTATTTTCATTTCAGATGTTATCCCTTTGCCTGTCCCCCACTTAATTTTTTTTTAACTTCACTTTAGTATGTCTGAGTTGCCAGCATCAGAATTCTTGAATTTAGTGGCCATTATTTAGTACATTACAGGGTTCTTGTTCCCAAGCAGCACAAATAATGAAGGCAGCTGATAAACATTTGACAATACATAGCCTATATAATATGGAAACATTGGACAGTAAGATAACTCATGTCTTAGATGGGATGAGAAGAATAGGTTAGCATGGGGCTTTCTCATTCTATTTAATGGCTGCGCAATTTAAAACTTATGAATTATGACATATGGAAATACTCTGTGACTGAAGTTATAGAAAGTGAAATGGAAGATAGGGAAGACTGGTGTGTGTATGTGTGTCTGTGTGTAGTATGTCTGTCTGGAGTATGTGCATGTAGAGTAGGTGTGATTTTTATATGTTCTGCCCATGGAATGGCACTATTAGAAGGTGTGGCCCTGTTGGAGTAGGTGTGGCCTTGTTGGAGTAGATGTGTCACTGTGGGCATGGACTAGAAGACTCTCATCCTAGCTGCCTAGAAGTTAGTCTTCTAGTAAATAATAATAATATATATATAATATGCATATAATATGATATATATTTATATATAATATATGATATATATATATATATATATAAATTTTTTGAGTTAGTTTTCTTTTTTTCAAGTAATTCCTAAGGTTGAACATGGTGACTTACTTAGTTAATCCCAGCATGTGGGAGGTAAAGCCAGGTGGATCTCTGTGAGTTTGAGGCCAGGCCAGTAATAACAGTAATAATGAAGAAAAAATATCACATGTAGCTGCTTCCAGTATATGGGAGACATGTTGATTATTGGTTAAGAGCAGGGATTCTAGAATTATATCTAGCTTGGACAATTCATCCATATACATAGAATTCTTACGTTATGTAGTTTTTTTTCCTAGAGATTTCTGCAAGGTGGATCAAGTAAACTAGAGGGATTGGATGTTGCTCATCATGTATATTTTTTTTTATCATAAAAGTATTTTTTTTTACCTCACCCCAGATAATATATAATCAATATATATCTGGCATTCTTAGAAGAGTCATTGTGTGCAAAGTCTTTAGCCGAGTCCTGTAACTCAGAATAAACTCTAAATAATTGTAGATGTAGATATAAGTATGTCCAGAAAGGCTGGAGCTTTCTGTTGAATAAAACTTCATTGAATGTAATTTTCTTTATTTCCTCTAGAGATTGATAATGGAAAGATAACAAAACCCATGTTAAGGTACAATTTATGCAGCATCTTAGCCAAAGGGATGGGACATGATTCTAAATATACTTAAAGAATATTGAAATATATATGTTGTCTTTTATGCAACATACACATAAAAGAAAGTATATGGTGGCACTGTGTGTGAGTGGCTTCTAATTGATTTCTGGACCTCAACAATGAAAACACATTTTGTCAATTTGCTGAACTGTCCTGGGAGTACCTAACATTTATTTTGTACTTACTCATAGAGTTCTGACTCCCCTAGTAAATCTGTACTATATTTGCCTTTTTTTTTTCTGAAACCAAGGGGAAGAAACGTAAGTGATTCTACAACCTGACCCATGCTATTGTTCATTCTGTTCAGGTTCTTGGGAAGACTGTAATCCTGGTTGATTTTGATATTTCCATTCTCCTGATTTCAGCCTGATATTCCAGGAACTTTTAATAGAAAGTTTAATTTTATGAATGTTATTTCTGAAAAATTTCAAGTGAGGCACACATAGAGATAATGTTATTTTTACCTTTTGAGCTGTCTGGCAGGCAGCTTTATTCACTATTCCCTTAATCCTCAAGTAATAAAGAAGTGGTGACAGGCCTTGGACAGGAAAGGTCTTCATTTCATCCAGAATCTATTATGTGCTCCTCTCCTTCCTGTGCCTTCTCCCCAGATCATTTTACTTTGAAAACTGAGTCATACATTCGCTTGTACCTTGCACCTACTTAATTATTATTTCCCACACCTCCTTCAATGGCGAATTTAGAGATGAAACTTTGGATTGTAAGAGGAGCTAATGAAAGCATTTTGTTTTAAGTGAAGTCGAGGGGAATGTCAGTTATTCATTTATCTAATGTCTAGAAGGTACTGACCCTAAGAAGTGAATGATTTTGGAAATTTGCTCAGAATTCTAGCTAGTTTTGCAAATATAATGAATACATCTATTAGTTTCGATTTTAAGGAGAGAACTGCTTGTCTTCCACTGCTTAGGTAGTTCAGAATAGCCAAATGAGTTACAGTTTTGTCCAGGTTTTGTTTTGTTTATTTTAATTATTTATCTATTTGATTCTGAGAGTCAATCCCAAGGCATGGCATTCTGTAGGGAAACATTCTCCCCACTGCTTTTTGTAAGAATATATTAGTTACCTAAGAATAGTTTTCTCGTTTCAGAGATGTATTAGTCTAGGTTATATTGACCAATTTTTTCATTATGTAAAATCCAGAAACTGTTTTACCTACTTTATGAGATGATAACAATCTAGAGGTTATTAGGTACTTATAAGTCTGTGTACTAGTAGTGTTGATTTGGTTTGGAAACTTATGACTTCTGTCAGAGTAATAAGTGATAAAGGAAATGATCAGGGTGAAGAGGAGATAGACTTTTGAACTGCATGTCTCCAGTAACCTTTCTAGAAATAAGTTCCACTTCCTTGTACTGCTAAGCTATATAATCATCAGAAGATCGACTTAACAGATGGCATCAGCAACCTTACGGTCCAATTCCATCTCTAGTGGAACCAGTCTGAGATTATGTCTTGAACCCCAAGCTTACTTATATGCTTCGTATATAAATCGTAACACTTTCCTAGTACATTGAGCTCTGGGATGTCTTGAGTATGTGTGCCTTGGTTGCTGTCACATATCCGGTGCTTAGCCCAAGGATTGCTACATATTTGTTTCACTAATGATGTTTTACATAGATTGATAAAGGCAAACCAGAGGACAAATGTGACGCAGTAAGAAGAATAGTGTTCCTTCGTGCTAAGATAGCTTCTCTGGCTTTTATAGAATTTCAGCCTTTGTGTGGCACATTTGCCTGACCAAATAACTGGGTGAAATCTGGAGAGGAAGCAGAAACAAGGCCACCTGAACTGACAAGGACAGGATATGATGACCCGCTAAGAATGCAAGGCTAATTTATAAATATTTCACAATTTCAGGTATCTATTTAAGATTATAAAATTTGATGGCAATTTTTATAATTCCTGGATTTGCTAAAGTTATGGTACTGTTTGTACTATATGATTCAGTTATGTACTGAAATTTTTATTTCATTGATAAGGTACATATATGCATGCTTGCATGACCACAGTACTAAACACTAGACTGTTCTGTTCTGACTGAATGTCACACAACCACTAAGCCATTCAGATGAACCCCTAGAATCCCCCAGTCT